AATGATGGATACCCAATAGTAAAGAGATTTTTTTGGAGGCAGTGAATGGTAAATCCGTGCATGAGAAGCCAGAACATTCAGATCTCAGCATCAAATTTGTGACTGAGGCCACATGTGAGAAGAGCAGCTCAAGTTCCTTCATGACAGGACCAAGTGCCTATGAATTTATATGTAGCACACTTAAAAAGCACCAGTAAATGTACTCCAAATAGCGAAGGGAGTGGGTAGTGGATACACTCGACTTTCAACACAAGAAATAGGATTTAAAACCTCTTTTCCCTGTCACTACCCATTTCCTTAACAGTATGGGGTTAAAACTTAATCCTTGGCTGTTCAGCTAAGGATAGTATTTGCCCTAACATCCCCTGTTCCAACAACCCGAACGCACCCCTTAAGATTTGGAGGCACAGCAAATGCAGCCATCAGCTGGATTCCTGGGACTACAAAAACAAGTGTCAACCTCAGGCTTATACTGTCTTCTCCTGTTTGCAGTTTCTGTTTCAACCTATGGGGTTTTTGTTCATTTGTTTTAAAAAACCCCATTTTTTCCCTGCTGCTTTATCCAAATAAGGCTCTTTTCTTTCTCCTACTTTCACACAATTGTTGTTTTCAGGGAAGAGAAAGATGAAAGTATTATTTCTTGTCAGCAAGACTTGTACCTAGATGACATGGAATTCCTTATTTGGTTAAAACACAGGGTAATGGTGCTGGCTTGCTTGCTTGCTGCTTCATCAGTCGCTTCTGTTCTGAAGCTGTTTCAAAGAGCACAATGGGATTCAGAGCTTCAGCATTAGTTGCTGCAGGAGTGAGGATGGATTTGGAGGAGTTTCACAGAGAGCTACAAACACGATTTCACAGCTGCTGCTGGCTTAAAGACACATAAACAAATGTTTAACTGTGAAGTTTCCGGTTTCCCATAAGAAGGTTTTTAAGAAGTGGTAGGTATATTGAGGAATACTCACCATACACGTCATGTAACCACGTTTTGTGTTGCAGGTCTCTGACACAAAAGCAGAGGGATTACGGAATCATAGGGTGGAAATGACCTTAAGATCACCTAGTTCCAACCCCGAGATCATCATCTCTTGGTCATCCCTCAGATCTTATGAGTTAAAGTGCACATTTAAGTGAAGATACAGGATAGAAAGCCCAACAGCACTGCGATTTATACAACATGTACAGTACAAGCACTTTAGAAGCTGTGAGAAGGCCCCAGTGCTCCCTCTGTTCCCCCACTGGACAGTAAGAGTAGTAATCATGAGGTCTCTGGGCTCACAGTTATCAAAGATGCTATTTGCTGGAGTTTTAACTGCAGTAAGAACAGCGTGCAGGTCCCGCATGAGAAAGGTCTTTCAGGAATTTTACAACAAACTTTGCCTCCTCCTAGAGAAGAGCATCCCTACAGCGATGCATTTACTCCAACTTTTATTTCTAACCAAAATAGCAGCATGTCAGCTTTCAGGTAATATGTGCAAACCATCTTCGTAACCAGCAATACAGACCCCTCCACCTCCATTCTGCCAGGCTGGGGCTGCCTGTGCTTAGGCAAAGGCAGACAGGACCACTTCTCCCAAGGGGAAGAGCACTGCAGCCAGGCACCAGCTACTTGGACCACAAGGTTCTTCTAGTTGGCACACTTGAGTTTTACTAAGCAGCTTTATAGAAGGCTGTTAGCTGTCTTACGTTAAAATTTTAATCATAGAATCAACCTCTAAGATCATTAAGTCCAACTGTTGCCCCAGCACTGCCAAGGCCATCACTAAACCATGTCACTAAGGACCTCATCTACACGGTTTTGAACGCTTCCAGGGATGGTGATTCCACCACTGATAGGGGACTAGGGCACTAAAGTTAAAGGGATTTCCTGTTTTGCTTTTTTAAATACAAGTTTATCAGCCTATAGTGCAACTAAAAATAAGAATGAGCAGTGCCAGTGTATCAACCCTACTAAGATAGTGTGGAGGGAACCCCCACTCCAGCCCTTGTTCAAACAAGCAAACAAAACCCCCAACATTCTTTCATGCCAAATTTGACCAACCTCTGCATTTATGTTCTCGGTGTGTGCCATACTATTGTGGTATGGCAATGGCTTTTTCCATGCTGTAGCAGGAGAAACTGCAGAACACCAGGTATATTGGGTTTCTCTGAGTACTCTGGGTCCAGGAGCACCTGGAACGCACTGTGCAGCTAGCACTGTAACTGGGAAAGGTGGTGAAAACTAGAATGTGCAGAGTAAGAAGTGGATACGTGCAGATGAGACCTTTGTCATTTGTGATTTGGCATCCGATCTGGGCTCCTGTTCTCCCTCCCCAGTCCTCATTCTGTTCTCCAACAATGGAATGTGAGTAGCCTCTCCCTGCCTCACCTCTGACTTCTCAGAAGGCTACAGCCAACAGACCTGTCCTCTTCGCCTCGCCATGCAACTATTCAGGTTAGGGTGGAAGTCCCCAGGTTAAGCCAGGCGCGCCGTGCAGCTCAGCTCCGAACAACGGGAAGAACACCAAGCAGCCTGCAGTGTTAAAAAGGAACATTTTATTGCAAGAGATTACAGACCTGGCACTATGGCCATGTTTCCATTACACCAAAATTGCTACCCATGGATCAGGCGACAGCACCTACAAATCACGGTGGATTGAAATATCTGAAATCATAATGCAGTCAGGGTTTTTTAAAGAAGTACCATCCTAAAAGGATTTAAAAAACAAAGTCAAAACTATATAAACCAATTTAATTTTAAATATTCAAGTGGTGTTTAAGTATCCAGGGCATTAACTACTGTGACAAAAAGTAGAAAAGTCTGTTAACCATAGTGCTCAACTAAACAGGCTTTGCACGCGGCCTTTACCACTTAGTTAAAAGAAAGTACTTGGTATTTGCTGTTCATTTTCCCCACATTTGTTCAGCCAACATTTATCTTCTGTAGGTTTTCAGTCAGGTAGAAGATTTAACGAGAAATCCCTCTTTAAAGCACTAGTGATACACAGGAAATCTAGAACCACGACTGGCCCACAAAAAGCACTGGGGCCAAGCCAGCTTTGCAGGAAAAGCTCTCCCCGTCTCAGTCCCGTCCAGTGCTGACCTCTTCAGACTCTGGATGGACGCACTTCTCTGAGCCTCAACTCATGATTCACGTTCCTCCTGTGATCCACTTACCTCAGAGACACTGGTGATTTCCCTGAGCATGGCTGAAAAGGCAGGACCTTGAACAGCCACATAGCTCAAACATGGCAAGTCTGGCCCCAACTGCTACAATCACCACCTTTGGCATGTTACGTGCGTGCTCTCCCTCTCCAATAACTATTGTCTGGTCTGTGCTTTTTCTCCTACAGAGGAGTCAGCAGCTCACTTTTGGCAGCACCATCTGGGTGAGATGAGCCCTAGGAAAGCAGAAGTTGGATCTGTGGGCAGAGCTGGACTGCCTCAGCCTGTGGGAGCAGCCCACCTAATACAACTCACACAATGCATAGGGAGCAGTATATGGCAAACAGCAGCAAGTGCCCATGGATCTTTGTGAGCCAACATTTATTATCCATTTGCCTCCATCTCCCATTTTCCACACATACAGCCTAAACACACTACCAAAAACTGCTACACCACTGCAGCCTTCATCCCAAAGCAACCTACCTACCATGAACAGACCACTCGTATTCATATGTGCAGCTCTGCGGCACAGACTGACATGAAGCCTCTCAAGCCACATATCTCAAACCATCAGATTCACATCATAAAGCAACTGATGTTAATTAACTGCCTTCTACCAGATGATTTAGAATCTCTGTAACTCTGGAAAGGGGGATTTTTTTTCTTCTTGTAGGCAGTGACAAAATATCTGTATTTCCAAACAACAGAGACCAAGAAAACAGCCCCACAGAGGACTAAAGAAAGCTCAAGGGTAACTCAATTACTAGCAGTTTTTAAAGATCATTCAGTCTGTATCAACCATATATGCAATTAACTTAATAATCAGAAGAGTTCTGGAACTTCTGTATGTATTTCAGATTACATTGTCAAGGATCTGATGCAAGCCTGCCACTGAAAACTGTTGCTCCTCATCAAAAGAATCTCATTCGGAAACTAATCAGCCCTAAAGCTCCCTGCTCTTCAGACACAACCTTGCATTTTAGTGTTACACAAAACAGCTCACTATTGGGATTTAAGGAATTAAATAATTCAGAATTAACTAGGGGTTTTATCATTATGAACCTAATGGAGTTCTTTGCTAATGCAAAATTCCGCATGGTATGGCTTCACCTTACAAGCATTCTTAACAATACTTAGATAAATATCATTTGCACTTAATTGATTTATCTGTTAAATAGCCACAAAATATGGTGCTCTCACAGGCACCTTTTTTGGTGAGAAGGTAAACAAGCACTCTATTAAAGCATTATAAACATTCAGGGTGATTCCATCACTTCCCTCTATCCCATTTCACAAATTGCTGTCAAACTTCCATTTTCATTGTGCATAAAAAAATCCCACAATCACCCACTAATTTTGAACTTTGTTAGTCTGCATACACATAATTTGTCTGCAACACACTTCAGCATCCCAGTTACCAAAATCTCTATTTTGTTCTCCAGTATTGACGTAGATCTTCCAGCTAGGAAAAAAGGAATACATTTTGACAATAAAGCTAAAATCATCTGTAGGAACTTGTACAGTAAAACACCCGACAGCACTGATTTAAGGAAAGCCTTGACAGAGCTCGGATGGCCTTGTCTCAGGACCCTGTCCTGCAGAGCTGAGCAGTTTGAGCCCATCTATTTATTTCACCAGAACATTCACAAGCCTCGTGTGTTAACTCTGAGCTGTGCACATACAGGAAGACAGACATTCCCCTTCACATTTTCCACCAATCCAATGTAATGCGTCTGTGAACAAGTCAGTTTATTGCAAGTAAATGTACTTTTACTTAAGATCATGAAGAGATTCTAATCTCAAGCAAGACAAATCAATTTCACAAACTTAATTCACACAATGCAAATAAATGCTTCACATTATAGACATTTCGATTTTCTTTAAACCTTTTTATTTAGAGATTTTTCTGGTAAGGAGATATACCATAGGAAAGCAATTTCACTGGCAGTGAGGTATGTATATACTCTACCAAAATACTCCTCTTGTTTTAACTGCTTTTAACTTTATTTACATATAAAGAAAATATCAATGCATATCCTTGGCTTAACTACAGTATCTGTTACCCTATATGCGTAAAATGAAATGTTACTTGCATACAAAATTGATTTGTAGAGGAATCTAATCTGATTGAAACAAAAATCATGTTCTGAAGACAGTTTAAATGAACAAACACAATTTATCATGACCAAGACACCTGCACCATATTTCCATCCTCACAGCACATTTATTTCAGTAATTCTGTAAGTAGGTCCTTAGCATGAGCATAGTGTTACAGTTTTCATACATATAATCACATCCAAAACAAGCTCTAAATTTTAAGTTGTAAACATTCTCTTCATATGTAGAAACATTTCAACCTGTGTTCGAATTCTCTAAAATGATCAATCTTTTAAACAGAATTATAAATGAAAAGTCTACTCTAACCGTGTAGTGAGCAATGCTTATTAGTACATTTCTACAGTGTTAAATAAAATAGTAGAGAGGCAAACTTCTGTAAGCGAGTCAGACTTTAAGTAAATCATCATAAAGAAACAAACTTGTTAACAAAAAAAAATGCTTTGTAATAAAGAAAGTTGGATTGAATCTACTATGTTACAAAAACATAAGGGTAAATACCATCTTTGTTGACAAGTAGGAGGTAGCATGGATGCACCACTTTATTGTCAGTGAGAAATGCAACTGAAGTAAAGAATATTTCCTTACCACAAATTTCCAGTATTATGTACATATTTCTCTTAGAAATTTGTTTAAACAAGTTTCCCTCCACTTTTTTAGTACAAAAAGCCTCATGTGATTTAAAAAAAACACTTACACACCTAGATAGAATAGTACTAATTGCCCTATTTGAATGAAACAGTCTCTTGAACTATGAAGTACATGATATTTAATGCCCTAAGTTGAGTAAATTGTATTAGCAGTTCTTGGTATTATACAAAACACTACATACATACAAACAAAATATAATAATATCTTATTTTACTATGTAATTCTTTTTGGAATAAACAGAGCCTTGATTTGGGTAACACTGAAGAGAACATGGATTCTTTGTTTTATTAAAATCTGTCTTTTAAGTACCCATGTGCAACAATTTAAAAATGGCTGCCATACATGTAATGGTCTTGTATTGATAGTGAACACAGTAACTGACAAAAACATAATAAACCTTAAAAACACATCTTCCACCCTATATAAAATATAAAGACTACTTACTGTAACTGTTAAGTATTCAATTTCTTTTGATGTTACTGTAATCCACTTCCTCTATTTTTCTGTCTTTAGCATTTATAAACATAATTTAGTGTAGCAATTTATTTTAAAAAATGACAAAGTATTTCAAATTTACATCCAATTAAAATTTAAAATGTTTCCTTGTTCTATGATGCTGCTTCTGCCATCAGTAAAGAAAATGAAGTTTCAGTAATCGAAGCAGGCTTTTTAAGTAGTGATGTGACTTCAACCATGCCAGCTCCAGTCCGTGGAAGATTTGCGTTGACAATGTGTCGCTGCAAGTGCTTTATCCAGTCTTCTTGAACAGACAAAGGTCCTCGAAAGACCAGACCACAAAACCTATGCAGACATTAAAATTATTCCATCAAGATACATCTAGCTCTATTGAAAAACTATAAAATAAAGACATTAAGTGGAAAGTCTTAATTTTCTTGAACTTCCTTAATTTTCCTTGCTTCTACATATTTTAGCTGAAAACCTTAGTAACTGAGTTCATTTACAGTACCTTTGAGCACATACCCCTGCAGTTAACACAACTTACACTCTCACATTTTTAACACTAGCAATAACAATCTGTCCTTACATAAGGTTTCTTCTTAAGGACAGAATATTACTCAGACATGATCAATAAGATTTTAGTTAAGAGGAACAGCTGGCAACCTACTGCCTGAGTATGACCGATTCAGGCCTCTTACTTAAGCCAATTAAAATATGCAACCGTTCCCCCCTCCCTTATTATTCAATTTAATACAAACACATTTACAGGATACAATCTTAAGTTTTCTTATGACTAAACTCAGTGAGCTGTAAAGATTATTTTATTCTTTCAATAAAATAATCCTATGTACCTGCATCTGAGTATGTAAACTTCATCAGCACTGTGAGGTAATTGCAGCATTTTTTTCTTGCTTCCAGATCTTGACCTTGACTTCTTTTGCTTACAGTCTAAAGCTAGGAAGAGAAATTTCCATATGTGAAAGTGATACTTCAGTAAGTGTTAACCAAACAAGAGATACTTAGTAAGCATCCCCTATAGCAGTAGTGAAAAGACATTTACCTCCTTGTTATTCTACATTTAATTATAATGTAAATTGAAAACAACTACAGTGTGCTCTAAGAAATTTACTGGCAAAACACATGAAGCTTTTTTAGTTTAGCACAGTGCTTGCTCTTTAGAAGACTAGATAATTGACATTTGGCATTAAACTGTTGTTTTAGTATCAGCAAGCACCTACTAACCTATTAGAGAATGCAACAGAAGCAAAGCACCATTGGAAATGCCCTTTCATGCGTAAAATGCTGTCAAAATCTTGGAGCTTGTTTTGTGTCTCAAGGACCGTCATAAGACCCCTCATGTTCAACCAAGCTACAACTTCATAAAGTTGCAACTTTCAGCTAATACAATCGAGAATTTCTAGTTTGAATAAACCACCTGCCATTTGTTTTTAACATAAAGCAAAAGTTTGTTATTTTAAGTTTCAAATGAAGCTTCCCTCACTCCTGTCTGAATTCTAGTGCATCTTGTAAGAATTATGTGTTAATCCTTCGCAGTGGGAGCTGGTATTAGGACAACCAACAGGGATGGCAAAGCCACTTCTTAAATTCAGTCTAAGCATTTGAAACTATGTATGAAATTAATGTGCATGTACAGGAAACACACAGCCACTGTGTTCAGTTAACATTGAGGTCTGTACCTCCCATAAATAGATGTGATGGAAATCTGTAACAAAACCTGAAGTTTGATTTTAAGCAGCAGCCAAAGTTGGGGGATGAGGGAATTAAACTGAGTTAACATTGTTATGATGAAAACAGATGATAAATCTCAAGAAAAAACGTTTGGGACTGCTTGAACTGAGAAGTATATCTAGCTATATTTTAAGACACTGACACTAAAACTCCACAGAAACCCGAAAGACAGTAACAAGTAGTATTCTTGATACCACAAAGGCAAAATGCTATGCTACTGGAGCATCTTAACAGTAAAATAAAAACAAAACCAAAATAATTGTTACACTTGTCTAAGTTTTGACTCCTGTAATATAAAACAGAAGAATAAATCCCAGTACTCTGAAGCGTAAGACATCATCTGGTGAGGCAAAACATGCTGATTTAAAGAACACACATCCTGCGTTTGTTATGTCCTACAAATGAACACCTCTCAAACTTTTACCCTGTAGCCAAACTTTTAACTTGTAGATACACCCGACATTTCCCAGTTCCATCCCCAGGTTTGAAGATTCCTCTATTATCTAGAAAAATTAGAATGAATTTTTGAGCTTTGAAGGTACCAGAGAACTAGTCAAACAAGTAGAAAGCAGATATCAACCTGAAGAGACTTCCTTCAGAGCCTGGGTCAAGCCATCATTAGCAAGATGAGGCTCAACAGCATTTTTTTCTGATAGTAACAATGAAAGCAGTCTGGATATAAAGGCAGTAACCTGAGGTGGCAAGGGAGAGAGAGAAATAGAAACGGCCAAGATAACTTCTGGAAAAGTGAACAAGTAATAGGTTCTTAATGTTTTATGCTCTCATCAAAAGCTTATTCTTCATATAATTAGGAAGAAAAAAACCCGACTATCTTTCAGGCTGTAGGAACTACTGAGTAATGTAAATACTCTACATACCACAACATCAGTAACAACATCACCAGACATGTAAGCACATAAAATACTGAAACCCAGATACACATTCTCTGAAGGGAACTACTGGCATGAGGGGCAATGTATATGAAGCAGTTACTACAGCAAAAGCTTTGCCATTGTTGCTCATTTTGCAGAACATGGTGGGAAGGAGGGAACAGAAGTCAGTATCTGAATGCAAACAGATTCATGAGTTGCGTCTGATGTCAGTTAGTTGATGTCAGTTGATATGAGTTAAAAAAAAACCGCAGTAGACAGCAGGCTCCTTCTATAGCAGCCTCCATGCATCCGAAGCAAGAACTAGCTTATTTCCTTCACACTGGCAAACATAAGACATTCATTCCCATCAAGAAATTAGATTCTACTCACATACATCCCAAGCATTTCACGGAGCTTTCACTTTCTTACTAGACCTGAATTGGTCTTCTGCAACAGAGCTCCTGAAACCTATTGGCTTTTTGTGTAACATTCTAAGAAACAACTCCTATGAGCTACTGTGCAACCAAATAGACAGCAACACAAACAGAAACTGCCATCATGTTCAAGAGGTAGTTTCTACTACCTTGAAAGATACCTTTTCCAAGAACAATGAGAAAATAAGGAAAATAAAAGAATGGGCATCTTCTCTGAGCCATTTATGACAGAAGCTCCAGACAGAGCAATTACAAAACAAAGAGGAGAAAATATCACCCTAAAAGACATCATGAAAAAAACATTCAGATCACTCAATGCACTCTCCCAGTAACTTTGAAAAGATTGGAAGTATTCTGCCCAAGCAAGAAGCTGTTACAAAAAGACGGCACGTACTAAGAATACTAAACCTGTGTTCTGCAAGGAGTATTTTTTGTTCCCTTTGTCTTTTATATCTAGTGAACATGTTCCTTCACTTCTTAGGGGGACAAAGCAGCACAAGTACATTTTGAAGTTATTCCCATGAAGCAGTAAATTAAGTGGAGAAAGAGTCACAGCTGGGTAAAGCTGACTGAGAAACGCAGTTCCAACACCAGTTATCAGAGACGTGTACGGGTAACTGTCACATACATCCCCTGTCCATCCAGTGAGTAACAAGTTGAAGTCGCATGCACACACTTTTAAGTACTCTGTTGATATGACGCTCACAAGCAAGCTTCAAGTAAGTCACACCATTGCCTCACCTGTAAGAAAGCATAGTCATGTTCTGACCAAAAAGTTACTGTTATTGCAATCCTTTATTCTAACAAAGCATGACCTCCTCAGAAAATACCTTTTTATCACTTTCAGGAAGAGCCCAAGGACATTCAGCTCTAGTAAGCGGCATGGAAATTGTAGCAAATTGCCAGAGAGACACAGGAACAACCTGCCATTAATGCCTACTTTGTGGCTATCAGAGCTCACAAACTATCATCCTCATCCTCCATAAAGGCCCAATTCTTTTTGGAAGAAGCCTCCGCCCTGCAAGTTTGGCTGCCCAGTGTTTCCTAGCAGCTATTCCAAAAACTTTTTGCAAACAACCAGTTACACCACTTCATCAAACCTCCTAGAAAAACATATGCTAGGTAAAAAGGCTGCATATAAACCCCTTCTTTAACTCTGTGACCGCTTATCAAGAAAGACTGCAAGCAGATGGAGATGGGAGGCTTAAACGAGCATGCTTAAAACAACATGAATTAGGAAAGTCACAATTAGGGATCCTTCAAGTCAAAACATTTGGTCTGTGGTTCACAACTAAAGGACACGTATGCTAAATTGCATGCTCCACTTCTTGATGTCCCCCAATATGGAACACTTCTAATTTCAGAAAGACTGAAGCAGGGTCTTTATCCATACTTCATTACTTTTGTCACAGCATATGTAAGCTAACACAAGTTGAATGACTGCATGCACAAATAGATCAATTAACCATTTAAAAACCTTGCCAATTAAAAAGTAAAGGAATACTGAATTATCAGATTCAATCACTTGCTATCTATTCACATCATTACTGCACAGTAAAATGCATTTGAAAACCCCCTCCAGTAATTTACTCCCTGAAGGACTTTCTAGGGTACTAAAAGCCAGCTCATCATGCTGGTTGATCAGTTTTAAGTGTAGCAGCACAGAATAAAGACATGGAAAGCCAGTGGATCTCTGATCTTTGCTGTAGCAGCATATGCTTCCACAGTAAACTTCCCAAAGCTACAATTCTGACAAAGCAGTATTAGAAATTCCTTGGAAGCACAATGGCTGCATAAACTGCAACCTCAGTCATGCTCTTGGCTTAAAGGCCACGCTCCTTGCTCTGTATTCTATTGTTCTCCCCAAAACTTCTAGAAAAGCAGCCTCCATCTACAGAAGCAAAGACTGAAGAAGAGAATGGTGATTGCCAGAAGATGACAGCTGGTAAGAAGAGACTGAGAATGTGAAAATAGTCAGCAAAGAGAAGATGTAAAAAGCCAGGGTGCAAGAGAGTATCGAGAGACTGGAGGGAGGAGAGGAAAGTGGCACAGAGGCCTAGAGAGAAGGAAAGGAAGCCTGGATATACAACTGTACCAGGAAGAGCGAGATGCACTGTGAAAATCTTGCCTAAGTCTGTCCAATGCTCTAATCAGAAGAAAGAAGCAAGTCTGCCACATCCTCTGAGAAACACTGATGTGTTGCTCTTAATCGGAACGGGTATAAAAGATTGTCATCTACTAAAGATGAGCGATTAAATAATTACATTGTTCAAAATTGGACCGCATAAGAATAGCAACAACAACTTAATGTTCCACTCAGACTTCTAAAGACCACGATGCAAGCACTAATACAAAGGTAACTATCCAAAGGGACCTAGACAAGGATTTGCTGTACAGTGGATCCATACCACATAAGTATAGGCACAAATCAAGTTTAACAAACACTAATTTAGGAATTCTAGCCAAGAGCCTAGAAAGTTGCACATCTAGGATGTTTTTCTTGAGTCCATTCTTAAAATCTACCATCATGCTTAACTATGTGTATTATACTGCCAGAACTGTCAAGTTGTATTTGGAGTAAAAAGAAAACAACAGCACACACACCCCCCCAACAAACTAAATGTAATCCAACTACTGCCTCTGAAGAAGCAGGGCATCTGCTAGAAAACCAATGTAACAGTCAACATCAAAACCATATGCAGACAAACTGAAAACTGAGCAGAAGACTAGTACATAAGCTAATGTAGTGCTGGGAAAGGTCTCCCTTTGGTGACATGCAGAGATTACTGTGCTTCTCTTCCTCAACAGTAATGCCTAGATAGCTTCCGTAACAACAGCCAAATAAAAGAACTGCAATTCATATTTACTCACAATTACTGACCTACAGCAAGGAACTGAGATAAGCATTCAACCAACATGATTTCTTGCTGGTAGTTATTTTTACTTTAGAAGATGTAAGAAAGGCTTTGTGAACGCAGAAGAAGGAACCTTCTTCTGTATGAACATCTCCTCATTGCCTCCATATAGGTTCCAGGCTGAATCCAAACTGAATACATCTTGTTCTCAACTGCAACCATCTTTTAATAAGAAAAACTGAGGTTCCCCAAGAGCAACACTCATAGCAAAGTTTAACAGTAGTGTGTGCTAGTGAAATGTTGCATAAAAATAATTATCTCCACAAAAGTTTATAATATAAAGTGGAGTATCAAATAAAACCACTGCTTAAAAGCTTATTTTTCTGGTCTATGAGCATTGAGCTTGCTCAAATGAAAAGTCAACAAGCAAAGCTTACAAGCTTTGCAGAGTTACAACAGTTTTAATAGTAAAGACTAAGTTAACACTGGTTGCATGAAGTTATAGCTAGAACTTAAGCCTAAGTCACTGGTTTCAGTGAAAAGTCTTTAACCACATGGTACAGGCTATTTATTTGGCTCAGCTCCAGCTTCTGCAATCTAAAGACTGGGGGGGTTTTAAGTCCTGTTTCTAACCTTTTTTTTAATTTTTAAGCTTTGTTTCTAACCTCATTTTGCTTCTAACCTGATTTTAAACAAACTTCTAGGTCCAATGATATAAGACTCAAGAGTTTTCTTTCAGTTCTTTTAAAGAAAGTGGCCATGTTCCAATGAGAATGCTACTAATTTGCTAGCAAAATGCATCTCTTAAATAAAACAAATACCCCTGAAAGCACCTTAACAAGCTTCCTTCACTCTTCCCATTTAGCAAAAGGGAAGCTGAGGTACAAGGAGCTTGTCCAGGATCCAACTTCTGTGTACTACCCTGTGTGCCACAGTGTGTGCACAGTGTGCCACTGAACTCTTCTGAAGATTTCAACATGCACTGTTAAGTATATAGCTATCGGAAAATATCTAATCGGTAGGTATATAAGCAAAGTATCTTATCACAGGGCTAATATGAAATCACAGCAGTGATAAATGATGTCCACTATCATCATCTTTCTACTGATTAAATGTGAAAACTTTCAGAATCACTAACTAAAGGCATACACTCCTACACAATGGGTATTACTGCATCTGCTGACTTCCTTCTAAATCTACGTTAGAGCATTAACTTGGTGTACCATAAGACCTGGCAGCCACAGGCCCTGTCTGTAAAAACATTTCTTTCACCCTTCTGCAGAGAAAGCCCCAAACTCAGTTTATTTGTCATTCTTAGCATAATGAATTACGTCTGCAGTTAAAATCTGTGCTTGGTGACACAGAAAACTGATGATTGCCCTTCTTAATTACTGAATATCCCTGACGTCTTGTCTCCAAATTGTCCTCTCTATATTCCACCTCTGCTCCATAATGTGCTGTTGATCATACGAAGTCTCACTACTCTGAGCAATAATCCAACTGAACTCAGAAACTGCCTATAGAGCCAACCAAACTGCAGGCCTCTGGAAATCAGTCAAAATATGTAGTAGTAGAGGAATTTCAAAGTTAAGTGGTTTTTAGTAAAAACCATTAACAGCAGTGCCAAATGCTGTACTGCACTCACTCTACCTCAGACCAGGTAGTTTTTGGGTTGTGAGCCAAACAAGCAATGAAACCAACTAGATAAAGTATGTTGCCAGAAATACACAAACTATATAATTACTTGCTTTTCCTATCTGAACAACAGTATTCTTAGTAATTTCATGAGTTAGATTGTAAAAATTACTTGTTGGTTTGTTGTGGGGTTCGTTTTTATTCCCCCCCTCTCATTTCTGAGGTACTTTTAAACACTTCATTAGAAGGCTGGTTTGGAAGTTGTGATATTGTAGAATGAATTTAAGCAACCACCTCTTAGTTTTGCTTACATACCTTAAGTGTTGGATCCAAAATAAATGAGTAAGAATGAAAATCAGGCATGAGAGTGGACAACAGCAACATACCTTTTCTTACAAGTTGCTGAAGTTTTATGGCAAATCAACTGTTTACCAGTAGAAGCTTCAAAATAATTTTGAATTAACATATGCTTTTGTCCAGTCTGATGAGGAAAATGTATCATAGACAGACTTGCTTTTACATCTGTAACAAAACATACCTGTCCCAGTCAAAAGTCCAGCACTCTTCTTTCGTGCATAAGCGCGTAAGTGGTTGGACAGGCTAACAGCACTTGTAAACGTCGTATTGCAATGCACACACGTTCTAAGCTTCACAGGCATACCTATCATTCAAAAGAAAACTATAATCCAGTTCTCTCTTCAAAAAATGAAATTCTCAAAGCGTTGTAAAAAGTTTTCTGCAATAAAGATGGTTTAAAATATATTCACTGCATTGACGCAATTGTTTAGTATATTAGAAGGATCCAAGTTAACTGTTATTAGTTTTCCATGTAGTGCTTTAAGCCAAACCATGTTATTTGAAAAAGAACAGAAAGGAGGCAACTTGAGCCCAGTAGGCTACTCTGCAGTTAATACCTACTATCACGTTCCTACAGATCTCCACATTATGAAGCTCTAGTCCCAAAATACAATCCTGCAATTTGAATAGCACAATTCTTTAGAGAAATTTCAGAGCTTGCAACATTTCTCATAAAGGGAATTTAAGCAGTCTAGTTGACAAGGCGGTAATTAGAAGTGTTTTACCCATAAGACTGAAGAGCTCAACACTAAATTAGGCTGCTGTTGAAGGCTTGGAGAAAAAGGTGGTAAAACACAGCACTGAACAGCTGTTAGACAGAACATTTTGTTCAGTGCATTTTCTGTTCGTAACTTTAGCTGCACAATCAATAATGTAAGTTAATGATTTGAAGTTTTTTGCTAAAATATTTGTGCTAAATAAATGATCAACAGAGCAACATGCTATTTATCACAGGAAAGCAGTGAAACAATACTGAACTCCTCACTTACCAGACAAAGAAACCAAGAAACCATTATAACTTATCCCCTGCTCACCTTCACCATAGTGTTTCTCCCTTCGTTTTACCAAAGATACATCATTTTGGTCAACGAAGATTTCAAGTTCTCTACCAATAAGTGATTTGAAGAATAAATAAAAAAGCTAAAACTACTCAGCTGGAAAGCCTGTGTTTGCAGGAAAGAAAGAATGCTATTCTCCAGCAGCCCACAGAAGACATGCTGTTTTTTCAGGCAAGTTACAGAAGAAGAATACTTGGCTGGTAAAAACGTTTATAAAACTAAAACCAGAATTAGAAATATTTGCTTTTTTTTTTTTAAGGAAAAACAGAAGGATTTCAACTTGATGTTAAGTGTTTTCTTATTTACTCAACTGGCGCAGTGCGTTAGTTGTCAAACTCTTTGTTACCTCAGCCACGGATAATTATAGGGCCCCATTCGTAACTGTTAGTACTGTACAAGCACATGTTTATTTTTACCTGGTTGTTCGTCACAACCAAAGAGGAACTAGCTAGTATTCAGCAGTAAATATTAAACAGAAAGCAATACAGAGTGTCAGGTTTGGCAAGCTATTCCTTTAGCATTGTTTTCCAAATCATTAAGCCTGTCGAAGATACACTTCCTTTATTAAGCAATTTGCTGTCTTAAAGGACAACCACGCATGTCCAGAAGACATGAGATGTAATTCTGTTCCACCTCTACTGTGTCATTTAGAAAGCCACCTTTGTTAAGAAATTGACTGCCACACTTCTGTAGTCCCCTAAAAGAACTTCTAAGCACGTCAGATTGTTGTTGTGTTTATATGTTTAAGGGAAGACAAGAATATAGGTGAAAAAGTACTAGGCACTGCCAGTTTTACTAACCTGCACTGGATAGCAACAAGAAAACCAACAGAACAAAAAATATTCAGGGGTATAAAAATAAGATCCTGCTCCTCCATCTAAAGAATCCTGCAGGGTTATAAGGTGGTGTCCAAACAAGAAACGGGTAAATGCAAGCTCTACATACATGTTAAAAAGGATGTTGTAAGAATTCCCCGAGACAAGAATGTCTACAATGCCAAGTAGGTTAAAAATATCACTCTAAAAACCTGCTCGATTAGTATACAGAGTATCTAGGAAGTTGATTACAGAATTGTTTCATTAGCACAATTCTCAGTGGAGGGGCAATCCAGGTTCTTATCGATCAGGGGCTGTGCATTAGAAACCTGCTGGCTACAACTGTATTCCAACAAAGCTTGAACCAGCACAGTCTTCACTCAGGACAGACAGGCCCTAAGCAAGCATCAGTTTCTCACAGCAGCCACAATTTTGAAACAAACAAGAACTAACCTATGTTGTAAGAGTGCATTTGCCTAAAAACATCAAAATTAGTTGACAGTGATTCACCATTTTGCAATATTATGTGTTTCTAACAGTATCAACAGTTCTGTTAGTTTGAGCAGATGTTGCTTTGCACAAACCTGAAAGATTTCAATGAAGTAGTTCCCAAACCGGCTGTTTTCATGCCCAGAAACAGGGTTACAAGCCCAAACATTTCAGAACTGTTAAGTCTACCAAATATGCATGGACACTTCAACTTGGTATTGCAGGATGTGTCTTGTTCTTTACTGAGGCTCATTTTGTGTCCCCTTTGAGTTTGTGTGCCCAGCCATATGCAGAACAGGAAACTTTGTTCCATGTATAACCCCCTCAGTGCTGCTGAGAGGTTTTTTTCACTTTAGGAAAACCATGTCAGAATAATTTGCTGTGCTACCGCTCGCAGTCAGTGTCCTCTGGAAATGAAATAAGAATTAAATGAACAGAATCCCAAATAAAATACTCTGCACTTGTACATTTTCTAGGAACTAAAAGATTCTCTGGAAATGTTGTCAAGATGGCTAGAAACATCTTCTTACCTGACTGCATAGTCAAGTCCATTTTTTGTGGCTGATACATCAATGGACTGTCTTCATTTAATGGAAGAACACATTTCTGAACAAACCTCTTTCTTGCAGTTTGATTATGAATCTTTTGAGGAGAAATATCAGGATTCCTCTCTTCTCCTAACCTCTTATTTTTCAGGAGTTCTATCAGTGTAAGTGACTGATTTTTTTTTTCATTATGTAGTACTGCTTTTGTTTCATCACATTCATTTAGGAAACTCAGCCCTTCTTCCTCTGATGCAGACACGGATGTATCTTCAGTCTTTAGGCCATTATGGTATGCTTCAAGAGGTATAACATTCTGAGATAAAAAGTCATCATTTGATGCAAATTTCTGAGCAACAAACGGTCTGGGAATAATGCGGCGACTGTTCAAAGCCTTTAGGATTTTTTCATACTTCTCTTCATTTTGCATCATCTCATTCAGAACACAGATCGGAGACTTGTGCGCGTCCCACTTGGTTTTGCCAAGCCTCTTCAGGTGTCCTCGCACATGATTAGACAATCCAATTTTAGTATCGAACCAGCCTCCACAGAGCTGACACGTATGCTCAGAGGAAGTTTCAGACTTCTCAATCGCTACAAAGGGAACAATAATAATGTTTTTTGACAACTACAGACAGTGAAACATCACAACAGCAAATCACAATGACGAGAGGCTTTACAACAAGATAAAGCGAGTCTTGTTCAGTGCTCGGTAAATCCCTTTGTCCCCTTTACTGTATACCCAAATTAAAAACCAAAACGAAACATAGAACTCCCCCAAACTTACCTTTTCTAACACGTTTAACAGGAGTTCCTGTTCCAGTTCTTTTAAAATGCTGCATTTTGTCACTTGTGGCTATCTGTTCTGGTGAAACAACATGACGGGCTTCATAGCTTAGTCCAGCTCTGTGAAGATGTCCTCTGACATGATTGGACAATCCAACACCTGTTTCAAAGGTTGCTGGACAGTATGGGCAGGACTTCTTTTCAAGCGACAAATCAGTCCAATGGAAAACTGAATTATGCTTTGGCAATGCTGATCCTACATTTTCTAAATTCTGAGGATCATGCAAATCATGCAGGAAGTTACTACCCTCAGCATCTTCATAATACTCAAAATAAAAGCCATCATTCTGCTCATAACTAAGTGAAGATTTATCACCAGCTTCATGATCTTCCATTTTACCTTTGAATATGGGGAATAGGTTTACATGCTCCTGATTAATATCACTGTAAGATTCATCCTCCACAGACTGTGTAGTGTAATCACATAGTTCAACATTATCCCATGAACTTTCATCCTCCGTTTCATAGCTGTCTTTTTTTTCAGCAGAGTTAAGTTTCTGTAAAACAACAACAGTCATTTTATGCAGAAAATCTGGATAGCAATCCAAATCATCTCCTGTAACAGAGCCTTCCCTCTTGGATTCTTTAACCACTCTTTTTACAGCTACATGCCTATGAGCTTTACAGCCTTCTGCCCTTTTGCAATCAAGATTATTTGAATCCATGTCAAAGCAATTATTATGGGGACTACTTGATGAGGAAAATAAACGTAAAGAACTGACAGAGTTGGACTCTTCCTTTTCTAAATGCAAAGGATAAGAGTCACTAGATTTTTTAATCATCCTGTAGTTTTCATATTTGTGCCTATATAAATTATTACCGCGTGCTTTGACACTAGCTTTCTGCTTTGCTGCTTGATGAAAATATTTAGGTTTCTGGTCAATGCTATTTCTAACCAAAAAGGTCTTGTTTGTGGAATTTAGATTGCACACACTTACAGATGTCTGTGAAACGCTTTTCCGAGCCTTCTGTATCCTGTAGGGTCTCTTGTGAAGTTTTGCGAAGTTACTGGACTGTGAAGTAGAGCCAAATGATCTTTTTACATCCTGTTTTAAAACAGAGTTCTTTGGAAAAGTAGAAGATTGTTTGATCAACTGTTTTGTCCTGCTACCGAAATCTAAAGACTCTTCTATGATGCTGCCTTTTCTTTTGTCTAGTCTAAGATGGCTACCGAAGGGATCAATGCATGATGCTGGGTGCAAATATTCCATGTGTTTTTTTAAAATGCTTCTAGTTGACGTAGAAAAAGGACACATCTTACACATATACGTTGATGACTTTTTTGAGGATCCTAAATATGGATCTTTCAAGGACGCCTTTTTCTGTGTTTTCCTCTGGGACATGTCGCTACCGATAATAGAACATTTGACTACTGCTCCATGAGCGATCCCTCGATGGCATTCCAGTTCATTTTCTGTCACAGCCATGAAATTGCATTCCTCGCAGCAATAGTATCTTTTATCTTTTTCATGGGTCTTTGCGTGCTGCACAAACGTTTTGGGACAATTGGTACCGAATACACACTGTGGACACTGTAACCGTGCACTCCTACCCTCATCCTGAAGTTCTTTCAGCTCACGGATTTCTTCCATCAGTTTCTGCCTTCTTTCCTGGTGAATTATCATGTGTTTAAGAAGTGAATTGCGATCTCGAAATGTCCTTCCACAACTGGGGACATTGAGATGACGGAAATGACTGTTCCCATCTAAATGGTACATCATATGCCTATGCAGATGTTTCTTCTCCCTAAAATTCACATTGCACTTTGTACAGGGATAAAAGGATGGTTCGTCAGTACTGAAAGTGGATGGCGATTCAGAATCATCCTGTTCACATTTATTTTGTAAAGTACTGGTAAGAAAAGTGCTAGTGTGAACAGGAGAAGTATCTTCTGCACAGTTACTAGTGGGACTGTAAATGAGCTGCTGGATAGCATCAACAGCTTCCAGCTCTTCATCTGGGGATTCAGGCTTTACTTTACTCAGCGAGTATTTTTGTGGTTCTACCATTTGTAGCTCCTCATTCTGCTCTAAGAAGTCAACATTTAACAGTTTTGATTTACTAGGAATACAACTGGTATCACCAAAACAGTCCTCAGTATAGCGTGTTATTTTACTAACATCCATTTTCCTTTTCCGTTTTTTTTCTAAGCCTACTTTACAGTGAATGGGAGACTTCTCTATTGTTTCTTCATTTGTCATCAGAAACTGGATAAACTCTTTTTGTGGATCCCAGCTGGGATCACATCCCGATCTGAAACCACCTGTACCTGAGGAAATGCCTGTTAATGTATCGACACAATCATCTTTTACTAGTAAATTTTTATCATCCTCACAAACTTCTACTTGGCCTACTAAAGTGCTATCTACACTATTTCCTACTGATTTCTGTGAATCACAACCAATTGAAGCAGAGGTAGGTAGATTTTTAATGGAATGAGTCAGGTTCTTAGCATGTGCTACATCAGGTAACAAAAATAAAACTTGGTGCTGATTTGATTTCTGTGTTGTACTCTTTGCAGGCAGCTGCAGATCATGAACCACTGTCAAAGTTGAGCAGGAATCTGTGTGATGACCTACAGACTGTCCAGTGGTTAATGAAACACTGCCTTTATTCATAATGGAAGTCTTAGCTGAGGTGGAGTGTGAAACTGGTCCATTAACAGCAGTTCCTCTAGACAAGATAAAGTTTTCGTTAGAAACAGTAGGAGCACCAGTGTGTATAAATAGAGAAGCCTGGCCTCCACTTAAGGCTTTTTCAGATCCGTCCCTTGACAGCTCCTCAGGCAGAGTCAACGTATTGTTCTGAAACGACGTGTCGCTCTCCTGTGGTTTAAGAATGCCACCTTCTTCCTCAGATATGAAATTATCATCATCACATAGGATTTCTTCTTCTTCTTTAGCACCAGTGACTTCAGTATTGATCTCTAAATCATCCATATTGCTGGTCTGTCCATTAAGCACATTTACACTAAAAAACAAACAAGAACAGAATCAGGCAATCACAGAAATGAATAATGGCAATCCAAAAATATATTCTGAACTTATTAAAAATGTATTTTTTTCATTCAGGATATTCAAGATGTTTAAAATAAATCAATAAAGCAATTACAAAAATTATACTTTTCTGCAAAGCTATATTAATAACCATACAGCAAACTACCCACTGCCCAGTACCCCAGCTCAAACACACCTGAGCACCTACATGCAAGCAAGATGGAGGAAATGAGATTGTCAAAAACTTGTGCAAATACATTCTGCATGTACATTAACATAAACACAGAGTTTATCTTTAGTTTTGTTCTAGAAGTAAAATAAGTTTGGAGTAAAGGTTACTCAGACATCCACTAGTCATTTTAGTGTTTTGTCTGCTTTTTAAACATACTTCCCTTTAGCACCTATGAAACTAAAATAATCTCTACATACCTCAAGGCATCACTTCTTTTTCACAGTGCTTGTATACAACTGATCTGATGCTACACAGAAGCCCAAGGAAGTACTTGCTTTCGTATTAAAGGAGAAAGCTAAGCTGGCTTTGAACATTTGGTTACTGACAGAGACATAAGCAAAGGCTCAAACTCACTGAAGATATCAAATGTTTCATTCCCTTCTTACAAAAGGACTCTTCTTTAAAGTAAGTCAGATCCTGCTTATGTTGTAAGGCCATTTTAAATGATAATCAAATAAACCAGCACCTTTTCAAAGGCGGAACACTCCCCTCCCACCCATCCAATTAGAAAGAATTGTTTAATTAGGATTTACCTACCAGAAGAAATGTTGCATCCAGAGCACAACAATAATAGCACCCGTTAGTACTGAGAAATACTACACATTAATTGCCTCTAGGAGGCCTTGTGTACATAAGTATGTCTTTCTACAAGTGACTTTCATTCATACATAAAACCATCTACCCAATGCTGAGTGAGCACAAAGGAATTGCCGACACATGAAAATCAGTGTATAATAAACAGGAGGGTGAATTTCAGTTCTACCCTGGCATTTACCTCTTATATAGAACCTTAGAACACAGTAAGCATAAGGCACTAAAATACCCATCTAGGAGCCAGAAACATCCATATTTTACAGAAACCACGTATTTTACCCTTAAAGAGTACTATTTGCTTTGATCTTTTGGGGGATTTGATTCCTGCCATCTCATACTTAGTTTCAGTTACTAATTAACATTATTAATAGAACTCAGTTAAAAGGAGTCATTACCTAGACTTTTTGAATTAAGATATTACAACTCACAAGTAATATCCATGGCTCCCTGCAATGGTCCTTCATCGAAATTAAGGAAAACCACTCTTGACATCCTGTTTTCCTAAGGAGAGAAAACAACCTGGTTAAACACCACCACTGCCATGTTTGTAAGTCACACTCTAAAACAAATCCAGCATTTCTATTAGTTTTTGAATCCAGCATTATGATAGATATTCAAACAATTCAAAGCTAGCTACAGTCTCATGGAATTCTGTTATTGTGCTTGCTTTGTTTACAACTGGCCAAAGGACAAAACAAATACTTTAATCTCCTTTACGTTTGTAAAACCCCAGCCTGAATGTAATATGACTTATTTACTATTATGAAGATAAAATATTGAGAAGGGTCATTTTTCCACCATAATAAAGACTTCCAATAAGATCACATTCAAAGCTATCACCCTAAAATGGTGATAATGCACCACCCAGCAGGAGTCTTTACATCACGTACACAAGTTAGAAATGGGCAGTGCAAACAGGCACTAAGAATCAGTAATGCAGAAGTCAAAAGAAGTGGAACCTCCAAGGATGCACAACAGCTCCATCAATTTTACAACTGAACAGTGTAAGCTTCATATAGTATCAGGCAGCAGAGTATAAACATGGTCACAAAAAGTTTAGAAGAAATTTAGTAAGCCAGTTTTGCCTGAAAGATGTGTGTTTTCCTCGTTTTATTACTGCAGAGGTAGACAAATACATGCTCAGTCAATTTGAGAGCCTGTATTAGCTTTTCCCAACAGGAAGCAATGTTGCTAACGAAGTGGTAAATTCAGTGTTAATGAGTGGCTTCACTGTTACCACCTCTGAGGTAAAACCTTCCATGTTCCAAGTTCCACCCATCTGTTCTGGTGTGAGGGGTTCAGGGGAAGAACAGACGCTTCCCCATTTAAAGCAACTTCACTGGTACCCCCTGAACAGCAGGGAGGCAAACTGAGAATATCGTGCCTGCTTGGAGATTGCAATCCTCATTATCAGAATGGCTCCTGAAAACTTTTCACAGGTTTACATGATGAAGACAAAACCATGTTGCTCTACATAGAAAACCATACTGATGCTAAATATTAGTGTTAAAGCTTCAATTAAAACGGTGGCAAGGGCACCATACAATCACCTTTAAACTGAGACTCTCTTCAGAGTTACCATGAGCAATACCTAAAACATTACACTGTGCAATCTTGTAAAAGACTCCTTTCCACGTTGTGTATTTATGGAGATTGTGAACTATTCCATATGGATCTGGTTACACGTCTTCTCTGGTAATACAGCTGGCCCTACAAGATTTCAGTCTTTGAATGAAGCCTGAAATTCTTACTGTATCGATAATATCTCTGTAATGTTTTAATAATTTTCTACTAATTGTCATTTTTTTCCAGCTATCAGGGTGGTACAATCCACTATTTTATGTGCAGGACAACAAAAAGAAAGCAGTTTTAACAGGGTATTAATGAAAACACATAAAATGACAATAATTTAGTCTTGTGATGACACGGAGCCAAGATGCAATACTTCATTTACATTATCTATTCCATGTGTAGAAATTTATGCAGGAGCAATGACAGGTGTAACTAGACACATATAAGAAAATATTCTGCATAATCTTGTAATTTTGGAGGAAACATTATGATCTAACTCCTATCACTGAGGAGTGCAACACCCAAACAGAAACACTACCTAACACAGTAATTAATCCTTCCTTAGTGTATTTGAAAAACTAAACACTGAGATCAAATTTGCTGCCAATAGTGCTTGTTATATCCTCTACCAGGGCAAACATTATAGAGTTGAGCTAATTTTTATTTAAGCACATAGTGCAATATCTCTGGGACACACAGAGACGTGTAAAAATGGCAATGCTTAAAAAGCCAACACGAGCACACACAATCTCAGGTTCATACTTTTGAAACACACTTTATCTAAAAGGCCAGGCTAAATTCAATTCAGTTATTTCAGTTAAGCCTAGAATGACTGTCATGCAGTTAACAGCGTTATTCCCGGTTTACATGATACACTCTTTATTATATAGAAATGATTTCATATTAAAAACTAGAAAACAATCAATTATTTAGCCAAGATACATTCCACCCCATTTAATTAAGTACTTTTAAATTTACGTAATTTTTAATATTGGTTTTCTTCATAAAATATCAGTCTTTAAAATCATAATGAGTTCTGCAGATATGACTGCCTGTGGCCAGATAGTGTAAGCATTAAAAAAGTGTAAGGTCAGATCTATCTTCAAGCTGACAGATCAGAATTTAAATGCCTTAAGCTAATCTTATTGTCTCAAAAATCTTGAACATCAGTATTTTTGCAAACTATCAGCACTTGCTATAACACCCTTACTACACTACATCTTGAGGTTACTACAGAAGAAATGAGGTGATAATTGCATATTAACATAATTATTCCGTAATCCCTCTGAGCAAGTTTCCTGGGTCACTCAGTAATTCAGATTAGATGCAACCTTCCTGTCATCAGATCTATGCTGTCCACTTTCTGTTCATTAATAATTCTTTTTGATAGAAATGTACTTAATTCCATTGTTCTATGTACATTATTAATCGCATTTATTACCAGTAGGTTTACGACAGCTCTAAGTTCTTATTTCATAGTGACAACCTTTGCTACGTAACAGGGTCACACACCAAATTAAGAGTACTGCTTTCATGCAATACTAGTTGATTAAAGCTTACATTCCAGTGCTACACTGTTGCCTATAAGCAGTTATAGTTAGACATCTGTCAGTTTCTGTTCCAAAAAACCCTGCCTTATTTTGCAAAGATTTACAGTAGATTTGAAAGCACACTGGAGCTGAAAAATTAAGATGGAAGAAGCTAGCTGAGTTTGTGAAAAGCATGAAGTGCTGTTTATGTGTTCTGATATCAGGTTTCTCATTAAATTCATAAAAATAAGCAAATTAGCTGAAAGCACAGGGCAACTATTACGTAGGATAAGAACTCAGAAGCCATCTCCTGAGTGGATTGAATTTAATCAGTCCAGTTAAAGTAATGAAGAAATACAGCGTCTTTCACCAGTGCTGTCATGAAGGCAAAAATATACATGTTCTGTGCTAAGTAACTCCTCATAAATCAAATTCCTTAAGCAGATACGTGAATAACCAGGACACTCAAAGGATTACTCAAATATTCAAGAAACTGGAAAGGTGTTTCACATTTGCACTGTCCCCATTTAGATTTTTCTTCAAGACTTTGTTATGTAAGTAGAGAAAACTAACAAAACCTATCATTTTACCCACAAGCATTCCTGTAATAAAGCTTCCTCGAATGACAGACTGTATTAAAGTGGATGGAATCAAAGTCACAGATTTTTAGGCATCAAGCAGCAGACCAGAGAGAGCTTAAGCACATCACTGCACAGGACTAGAGAGGCATCTCCTTCCATTTTGCCCCATTAGAGAGTCTACTCCTGTAACAACTTAATCACGGTACACGTCAAGCATGGAGCTTGCATCGAAAGTGAAAGGTTTAAAAACCTTTGGAGAATGAAGGTTTGTACAGAGTAAGAGAGGAATCAGTATTGTACCAGCATAAACCAGCCACATCTTGAGAAAAACAATCAAAAACCCCAAGTTCTTTAGAAGACAGCTGCACAGTATTTTTGCTTCTTCCATACAGTAACGCACACAGTTCACACCACCTGAGTTTTGGGTGTCATCTAGCAATATGAATACTCAAAGTCAGTAACATCACAATACTTTGATCATTAGAAGAATATCTATTACTTATTTTCCACTTTATCTCTTCTTAAAAAGCTATCCAGATCCATCCTTCAGATAGAAACAGAACCACAAAACCTGATAACCAGAGGAGTCATTGACCACCTTGCCCTCCTCCAGCTTCTATTTGTGCTTGCAAATTGAGGTGCTGAAAATACACTCCCTTCTGCACAGCAGAGACACTGACTATTTGTAGACTGCATTACTTAGCTTTGAAACCTACAAATTCACTTCAACACTTCTGGGGTTTTATGAAAACCTCTGTAGTAAAGAGACAGCTTAATATGCACAACACCATGACTACAGCCCTCCCACACCTACTTTACATACAAGTATAAGGTTATTAATATAACTACAGTCTGAGGAGTTCCACTGAACTGAATTTCCTTCAATTCAGATCCACAGCTGTTCACATGAAAACACAAACTGGAAAATCTCATAGCTAATCAAGACTCTCATATTTTTAAAGTAGTGAGAAAAATCACTGATGCCACACTAACAAGTTACATTATTCCTAAATAAAGAAACATAAAGTTATTGCCACCCCCAGTATAACATTTTGTTTTACTGTTGAAAGATTCCCTGAGTTGTCACAGCTCTGTAGAAGCAGCTGACTGAAGAAAACTCTGACTTACAGAGGAGTCATCACACACAAGCAGCCTGTCTTTTCAGGAAGGTTACACTCAGGAACATCAAACCTGAAACACGCTTTTCCTGGAAGTATATTTACCTTCAAAAGCTGTATCTCAGATAGTAAGGGAACAAAACAAAGCTTCCTTAAATACATCAGCATTTCAGAAACTCTACTTTTGGTCTAAAACGTTTAAAGAGTGATACTTTAACATCTCACACGTGAAAGGAAACAGTATAGAACTGAAGAATGACTATCTTATGATCAGAATCATAGAAAAGAATCTCATTACTGCCACCGACCATTCTTAATCTTATTCCTCTAATATTGATTTGCTTGGGAAACTAAACCAGTTTGTCACAACGGGGTGCATCATGCTAGAATTCAATACTGAAATCAATAAAATAAATTACAATACAATTTAAGTGTCACAAGAATCAGAGGTAGGACTTTTAAAAAATACTCTTGGAAGTGCTAACACAGCAGTTGAAGGTGGTTTCAGCAGTAGAGACTTTTCAAAGCGAATCAGGTATTTCTAAAAGATGCCTAGCCAGTACAAAAAAGCAAGACTTTGAATTTGGTAACTGAAGAAGAGTCACACATTGTCTAGCAACTCACAGGCTTCCGTAACTGCTCCCAGCACCCCAGCACCCTGTTCCTAGAGGAAAGCCAAGTACTTAAGTCTCCACACTCCT